GGTTCAGGTACGATCCAGAGACGGATGTCATCCTGATACTTATTCCAGACTATCTTCTAGCAATAGTTCAGGTATGATCTAGAGACAGATGTCATCCTGATACTTATTCAGATCATCTTCTAGAAATGGTTCAGGTACGATCCAGAGACGGGTGTCATCATGATACTTATTCCAGACTATCTTCTAGCAACAGTTCTGTTCGCGGAGTTTACCTTCCCCAATAGAGTTTATTTCTCTAACAACGGACGTTTATCTCCCAACATTTTAACTTCAACATATTTGAATACCTACATTCTTCATCCCCAGCAATGATCGGGGATTTATTTTCCATAATTCAACAATACTGCAATGGAATGACTGATGCGTTCATACATTGCATTCATACATTATTTTACAAATGTCATAGCATATACATACAAATGCATATAGAAAAATCTCATTTATTTTGGGAACATCACTACCCAATGCATTTCATGTATCATGACATTGCATACAACTAACTCTTTACCTTTTCAGGAAGGATCCACGGACGAATATTATCAACAATTTTCAACAGTTCCAGATTAATTCCTGAAACCAGACAAGGCGTCTATCTATGAACAACTTATTTTAGATCAATTCTCGAAACAAGACGGGGAGACTATCTACTAGACCAGGTTAAGAGATCCATTCTTGAAACCAGACAGGGCAACTATCTCAACAACCAACAAAAGCATGGTTCCAGATTAATTACCGAAATTAGCCAGGGCAGCTATCTGAGATAATAACTCAAATTACTGTGAAGCCTGGATTTCGACCAGATAACAGTTTAAGTTGCTATGAAGCCTGGAATTTTACCAGATAGTAGTTCACGTCTTCAATTACTGTGAAGCCTGGATTTTGACCAGATAACAATTTAAGTTACTACTAAGCCTGGAATTCGACCAGATAGTAGTTCACTTATTCAATTACTATGAAGCCTGGATTTCGACCAGATAATAGTTTAAGTTGCTAGGAATCCTGGAATCTGACCAGATAGTAGTTCACTTCTTCAATTACTGTGAAGCCTAGATTTCGACCAGATAACAGTTTAAGTTGCTACGAAGCCTGGAATCTGACCAGATAGTAGTTCACTTCTTCAATCACTGTGAAGCCTGGATTTTGACTGGATAACAGTTTAAGTTGCTCCGAAGCCTGGAATCTAACCAGATAGTTGTTCACTTCTTCAATTACTGTGAAGCCTGGATTTCGACCAGATAACAGTTTAAGTTCCTGCGAAGCCTAGAATACGACTAGATAACAGTTAACTTCTTCAATTACTGTGAAGCCTGGATTTCGACTAGATAACAGTTTAAGTTGTTGCGAAGCCTGAATATGACCAGATAATAGTTAACTTCTTCAATTACTATGAAGCCTGGATTTCGACCAGATAACAATTTAAGTCATTGTGAATCCTGGAATCCGACCAGATAGAAATCAACATCATCCTTTCGTCTAAGTCACTGGGAAGCATAGATTTCGACCAGATAACAGTTTGACCTTAAGCAAATTACTGCGAAGCCTGGAAACCGACCAGATAACATTTAATTTCATATACCCCAGTAAGTCGCTGTGAAGCCTGGAATACGACCAGATAACAATCAACTTCACTATCCTTAGCAAGTCATTGTAAAGCTTGGATTTAGACCAAACAATAGAAAAATTTTATCTCTCCAGAAATAACTCCTCAGTAGAGCCTTGGACAACTGAAGTTCCTAGACTCTATTCCCCACAGAGTTTTCCTCAAGAAGGAGAACAACAGAAACCCATATTCCCCAGCAGACTCCTCCTCAGATAGTAGGAACAGGAACCCCCAAAAGGACCATGTGTGAAATCAGTATCTACTTTGGATGGCATCTTTAAGCCCATCTCTGATGAATCTTTGTCATCTTCTCTAAATGGCATATGTAAGCCCATTCCCGACATCATCAACCAACAGTATTACTTCATGTGAGTGCAAATTTCTGAGCACTCTAGTGTTCAATCATCTTCCACCTTCAGATCACTAAAGGCAAACAAGCCAATATAAACCTTCAGGTTTAAGAAAATTGAACATGGGCAGCTGTTGTACCCCAAAATTTACCCTCTCATGTTTTTCCAAGATCTTTTCTTATATGGGTGGTCACAAAAACTTGGTTAAATAAAAATGAAATTTTTGAATGTTAGCAAAGTGTCTTTCGATTGGAAGTTCAACAATGTCCTTCGATTGGTATTTAAACAATGTCCTTCGATTGGCAGTTAAACAGTGCCCTTAGATTGGAATAATAGCAATCTTTGACTGGGCTCCTAAAACCCTTTGACCAAGCATTGGCCCATCAGCTTCGATTATGCATTGGTTCCCCTTTGAGCAAACTTTGGTCCACGAGTATCATTCGAGCAGTTCCCTTTGTGCGTGCCCTCAACGCACTAGGAAAATAATACCTCTGTGCGTGTCTTCATCACACAAAGCAAGAATCCCCTACAAGTTTGTTTCGATTCACCAGCAGTACAAGCTTCGATTGGGTGTTGAGTCTCCTTCGATCAAGCTTAGTTCACAAAACTTCCATTGGGAAAAAGGCCCCTTAAGCTTGTCATCAGCGCACGTATGCCTCTTCATGCTTGCCTTTGATCTACAAGGCAAAAGGCCCCTTTTACTAGTCTTTGGTTCACAAGACAGAGGCCAGAATGAAGTTTTCATTTGAGTTGTTTGAATCAAGCAGCTAGGGAAAGTAGATAGACTCAATCGAAGAATCTCTAATAGGGAGGTTTCTGAACAATTTGAATCAAGACTCTAGGCCATACGAAGGAGGAAATCAGAGTCATTCGAAGGAGGGCATTCAAAAGTTAAATGTGTTATGGTTCATAGAAAATTCTAAAAGGGACAAGAAAACATGTCTTTAGCAAAGTTTCAAAGTGATATTTATGGCCTTAAAACACCAACTTAATGGTTGTTTATTCCTTTGTCCTCTTGTCCCCCTCCATCCCCTCTATATAAGGAGCACACTAACACACGAAAGAAAAGGAGGACACACAAAAAAGAGGAGGAGACCAGGTACATACGCATACGCTGCCTCACAAAATCGTACCAAGCTTTCCTCTCTCCTTTCGAATCCAAGAGTATCCAGCAACTCTAGTCCCCCACACAAGTTCCAGTTTTAAGCAAGGTAAGTCCCCTTGACCTTGTATATTTCATTTCAGCATGACATATAAATAGCCCTTTACTTACTTTTCGTTTCAGCATAATATGTAGATAGCCTCTTAGTTATGTTCTTTGTTTTTGCCCTCTTGGTTTGTTTGCTTTTCTTGTTGGAACTAACCTGTACAGATTCAAACGAAAGACAAAAAGAGTGTGAACGAAGTATATACACTCATGCTGCTCTACAGGTCCATGATACTTCATAGTCTAAATCGAAAGAAGCGGGGGAGTTTGCAGTTGAAGGTTGCTCATGCCCACTCCCCGACTCAATCGAAAGAAGTAGAGAACGCTGCGATCGAAGGTTTCCCCTACCATTCCCAAACTCAGTCGAAAGAGGTAGGAAAAGGTGAAAATCGAAGCTTGCTCATGTCAACTCTTAAGCCCAATCGAAAGAAGGCCAAAAGAGGGTGAATCGAAGGAGTCCATGGCCTGGATCGAAGAATTCTCTCTTCTTTATTTTGTTCTTTGTTTTTTTTTTTTACATTTTTCTTGTCTTTTGATTTGGTTGTAATAGCATAAGACCCTTACTTTCTACATTTTTTACTAATTTTCATATTAACTGCTAGATGTATGATTAATAGGATTGTATGGAAAAGACTAAAATCAAACACTAGCCAACCTAACAAAAAAGACAAAATAACTGAAACATAATACAATTACACATATACACCTCTAGGGTACACCCACTTCGGTTGCCTTCTAAAAACGGTCATAATTCTCGAAACGTGAGAAGTTTTAGTGATTGTCCTCTAGTTTAAAAGATCACAAGTCCCTCGATGACCGTCTCGATGTTGTCTCGGTAAAAAGTAATCTTAGAACTTTAGGACAGTTACTAAAATTCCTTGCCAAGTTGCCTTCGTGACCGTAACATCCCTTCAAGTGTCCCTCAAACATCCAACGACTAGGGATACCTACTCACTAATAGTAGTATACCACTGTGTTGCACCCCAAAATTTTATCTCCTAATTTCACTTTTATCTGGCTTAGGCTTTTGCATTCACATTTCATTAGGTGATCTGCACTAACATAACATGCATTTTGCATTGAATAAAGCACAAGGGTTCAAATGTTTAGCAGGTATGCAATTCCATAATTTTTATATTACTTTGAGGGGTACATATCAAATAAGACTGATTCGCCTGTTTCTCTTAAGTGTTGAACTGAAAAATTAGAGTTTCTTTAGCTCTGAATATCTCGTTTTTAATCAAGGGTTTTCAGTGTGTTTCTTCATCAATATTAGCTTAAGGAATTAGGGTTTGTAATCGTGAGCATTGGGAATTTATTCTTTTACCAAGGCAACTCCATCTTTCAAGTTACTTCCAGAAGCAATTTGATTAAGGGTTTTTACATTCTTTTGAGGAGTGCATATCAAATAGAGCTTGATGTTCCTAATTTTCCTTCTATTAGTAAAGGAGTGGAATTAGGATTTTTGTGGATTCAAGGGGATTCCTCCCATTCAAAGAAAGATTAGGGTTTATATCCTATCATGCTTGGGTTTATCAACATTTTCAATGGAGGGTCATGGGATAATAAGGCATGATATAAGGATGGCATTGTGAATTCATTAAGATCAAATCAGTTTGGTTCTCTTATTGTTTGTTACATAAGATTGATGGGTATCAAGGTGTTGGATCCATTCTCTCACAAAGGACAGAGGGTGATGTTAGGGACCATTTGGTTCATGGTCATCAATTGAAGATTGGGCTCGCTTCATGGCTTATGATATAAGTCATTTGCTTTAGGGTTCATTCAAGAAGTTTAAATTATGACCATGGAGTTTCCTTTGGATTATTTTGAGAGAAATATCATGCGATTTCAAATTTTGTTCAAATATTGGATTAAAGTTCATTTATCAAGCATGCAAGGTTAGAAAATGATTCATGTGGATTTCTTGAGAAACAAGTTATTTGAAGTTTAGAGCAAATATCAAGTTCATTCATGTACAAGGTCACTCAAGAATTATTCGAGGCTATTTCAAATTTCAAGATCACAAGTCCAAATTTCATTCACCGTTCAAGTGACCATAATATGAAATTACAAGTTTCAAGTACAAAAGTTCAAATTCCAAGTTCAACATTCACTATTCAAGTTTTACAATGTTTATCATTTACAAACCATAAATACAATTTACAAAACCATGACCATCATGTCTTAACATCATACAAAAAAATATTACACAAACTTTTGTTCTAAGCCTAAAATCCTGATATCCAAACATCTTCATGCTTCCATATTTGTGCTAAGTATCCATCTCCAAATTCTCTTTCACTTTGCCCAAACTACGAACTACTTTGCCTTAGTATTTCTTCATGCCACAGTCAACCTCTCATGTCATCTTCTCAATTTTCCTTGACTCTAATTTTAAGCCTTCTTCAAATTGCAAGCTATGTGTTGTCAATTACCTAAAACAGTTCAGCCAACCAAACACATATACTACTCATTTATCACAGACAGTAGCATTCCGCGTGTACAGCCCTGCAAACCGGATCATTATATGTCCAAATGCCATGAAACTAATTCCAAACGTGTCCATAATATATTCCATATCAGTTCATATAGCCCTGCATATTAACAACCAAAAAGCCAGCTCTTTGTTTAAACCATGACAGAAATACAACTCAGATGCTTGCTCAAATCACATTGCAAGTTACATTCTCATACACAATTACATCATCTAACAAAAAACTACATCATGTCAGTAAGCTACAATAAGCCTTTTCTTTATACTAGCCCCGGTGTTCATCATATGGTTCTTGCATCACCATCATTCAAGTGATTTCGATTGGCCGAGTTATGAACAAAATCCTTCAAAATCTGCATCAACTTTGGAACTGTCCGTCATAACCGTGTATACAAGAAAAATAAGCAGGTATGTTCGAGTATGCAGGACGAACTAGACAAAAGCTATTGTTGCATCAGTGTTTCATACAAATCTGACCTGACATGAATCCATCAGTGACCAAAATAACAGATAAAAGAAGTCGGAAAAGCAAAGGAACGATATCGGTTTGTAAAACAGAAATTGGAAGGGATCAGAAATAGAGAATATATATATTGACATTCATTATCAGCTTTTAATAAGAATAGAAATATTTTCTATCAAACTATACTAACTTTTTTCAAGCTAACTTTGTATAACTGCAACTAACAGTTTTTGTTTTAGCATTAAACTTATGATACCAAGCATTATCCAAAAAAATTCTAACCAAAGCAGTTTTTTCATCTATTAACTAATTCATAAAACCGTTTCTAACTAACAGTTAGCATCAATAAACTTCTAAACAGAAATTCTCTAACCTACCTTAAAACAGTTAGTAACGAACTGTCAACTAATTTTCTAACCTCTATCAAATCCATCTCATTTATTCCTTTTATAACAAGCTGCTAAGATCTGAGGGCTAATATTGGATCCTTTGTAACAAACTTCAGAGAAAAGAATCAAACTCTCTAACAGAATTTAACATATTAAATAACTAACCCTAACCAATTCTTAACTAACAGAATTCTATCAAAAACAACTAACAAAATTCTAACAACCTCCTAACTATTTCTAACTACTTTCAAATTCTAATAGAAATATAAAAAGAGAAGCTTACCTGGATTCATTGATTTTCTTCAATCTCTGAAGAATCACCAAAAAAACTCTCTCTAATATCTCTCTCCAAATTTCTGCTTCCTTCTCCATCACTACCAAAACCTCTAACAAAATTTCTCTCTGCACTTCTCTAAAAGCTTCAGCATCAGTTCTTCACTTATCATCATCAATATCCCCACCATCTTCTGTAAATCCATCAACCGCAATCATCAATCATAACCTCACCTTCAATCTTCTATCTCTCAAGAATGCGCCAATCTTTGACATCATTCTCATCACTGGAACCTGCAACAACCAGAATATCAATGATTCCACACCAAATTTTATTATCAACTACAATTTGCAACACAACAAGAATCAGATTCATCAATTCAACACGTAGAAAACTCACCATTCTTCTCTGTACCCTCTCGATTCTTTAACTGCATTTCATTTTCATCGATTCACCATTCTCCCAGCTTCGATCTTCTTTGATATTTCCTATAATTCAACTCTGCAACGTTCAACCATCATCATTGACGGGCAACAACCAATAACGATTCATGCACGTAGCAACATTGACGCACACCGAATTTGCAAAATCGAAGAAGGTGAGGACAAGCTTGACAGCGATGATGTTGCATTTTGTTCATTGGAGAAGAAGAGCGTCGATGAGATGAAGAAGAAACTTTGTGATGTTGAGACGACGGAGAAGGAGGATCGCTCTGAATAGCGATTCAATTGATAATGATCTAAAGCAATCAGGAGCATGTGAGACCTGGATCGGTGGGTTGCTGCATAACGAGACGGTCGCCACCGTTAGAAGATGAAGAGACACGTTTTCTCTCAACCCTAATCCCTCTTCCAATTTGTTGTTTTCTTTTAGTTTTTTTATAGATAATATGTTAATAATAAAAAAACAAAAATCTGAATAATGAGGTTGTTAATGGTTTGTATGGGCCGAAGCTCTCCCTAAAAGCCTAATTACTGGTGTTTTTTTGTTGTAACTGGACTGTAAAAAAAGGGGGGGGGGGGGGGGGGGGCTTTTTGGATCCTTTGCAATGGGCCTAGAGTTTGCTTCTATCTTACCACCTGATTCAGTCATAAACCCCACCTCTATTTGTAATTAATTTTGATTTCCTTTTTAGTAATTTTCTTCTCTTGAATTTTGTTAAGCAAAAATGTTGATAATAATAAAATTGTTAATTGTTTTTTTTTGGAATTTAATAGAATTTTTCTAGGAGTTCTTTGTTTAGAATTTTAATTAGAATTTTCTAGTATTTTTTATGTTTTTGTTGTCAAGAATTTGTGATTCGTTTTTGCTTGTCGATATTTGAGTCTTATGCAGGTTTATTGTGTGGTATGCGGATGCGCTTGAGATTTTGATTGTGATTTATTTTCACATCGATGATGCTTCGATGTTTATTATGAGCGCTGATTTCTAACTCCTTTCTTTGATTGGTGAAGCTTCCACGAAGATCCTCGGGTTTCTTTTTTTTGACAGGCTTTGCTACGGATTGATATATGTTTGGTATTTTCTCTTGTTTATCTCATTTCAGCATTTTACCGCTTTCTAGAAATCATGTAAAGTAGGAAACAGGAAATAAAGAGCGTGCGCTCGAAGTCGCTGTTTAAAGACCTGTAGCAGGCATTCTGCACTTCATTTACTATATGTGTTGTGCTTGTGTTTGTTTCCTTAGTGGATTGATCGATGAGTCACTCAATGTAGAAATTGAGATCACGACTTCGCTCTCAGTGCATGCTCCCCATAGGGTTTTCTCGCTTTCCTTGATTTCTTGTTGATCGATGAGTCACTCAATTTAGAAATTGAGATCACGACTTCGCTCTCATTGCATGCTCCCCGTAGGATAGTTTTGTTAAACTTTCTTTGGTATGCTAAGCCTAGATAGGATCTCTCTAGGTGTTCTCTCTTGAGCTAACTCTCTTGAGCTTATTGGCTTGTTTGTTTGATTTCATCTTTGTGTGCATGTTATGAGATGATATACCCTCATCATGTTTCCCTTAGGAGCTCTCAATTCAACTATATATGATGATTCGACATAGACATAGTTTTAGGTGATATACCCTTGCTATGCTCCTTTAGGACTTCTTGATTCATTTATAGATGATGAGTTGAGATAGACATTAGGATTGTTATCCAAGCATGTCAACTTAAGTTAGTGATTTCCCTTCAAATCTCAACCATATGACCACCATTGTATGATAACATTAGGGATAGGTTCAGGTTAGTCTCCCCTTAGACTTTTCTTTCCCCTTTTGCATTTGCATTAAAACAAAAAAGAACTTCTTTTTCTTGTAAACTTCAAAACACTTAAAGATTACTAGTGAGAGTTATACCTTTGTTAACCATGGGAAATGATAAGCGGGTTTGTTATTGATCTTATTGTTCTTCCATTCTAAGCCTTAGTGTGGTTCAAGTCTCAAAGATTTATTTCATGAATAAGTAGAGAAATGGCTAAAATCTCTCTCTTGAGATTAACTAGCTGTTATCTGCAGCAAAAACACCAACCAACACAAACTCTTTTTTCCTACAGGATTTTCTTCAAAACCTTTTCAAAAGAACATGCTAATTCACTTATGTGCTGACGCGTAAGTCTCCAAAGGTCGAGTTGCAGCAGAATGCAAAATTAATATTGTTCATTAAAAAATACGAACCAACAAAAACTTTTAAAGCCGAACTACGACTACTCTGATTCCTTAAAAGGGATACGTAGGTGTGATCGGTGGAAATACAACTGACTGTTTTTGAAATGCTGGTTCGCGAAATGTCGCGGTAAGCAAGAGTCGCCACCGTCTTTTATGTTCTCCAACATGAAAAGGACAAAAGCACAGCAAAATTCCTTCTTTGAGAATGTTTCTCGGTCCGGGAGGTAGATTTATAGAAAGGGAAGGTGTTAGCACCCTTTCTATCCATGGTTATCCATGGGCTCTTAGGTACTTGCTCTTATGTTTTCAAAAGTGTTTGATTTTCAAATGTGTGTGGGTTTTGAAAAAGTTTCGTTGAAAAATTTCTAAGTAACTCTTGTATCTGTCCTCAAGAGTGTATGAAAAATTTGTTTTGAAATCTTTTAGAAAGTGTCAGTGTGAAAAGTATTTTTGTTTGTTTTTTGAGAGAGCAAGTACCCATGAGTCATCTACCTACCCTAAGGAATTAGGCTGTGTAAGAGTCCTTTAGATAGTGCTATCCCACCATTGAGAGGTAGGTAGCACCATCGTTGGAGTTATTCGGGTCAATTCGATTGTAGGGACAGTGTGGTCACTGAAGCAATAGTAGGACGCCTTAGAAGTAACCCTAATGTCCTAGATCCTTTTTATCCGAGGCAACCGTTTTGAGGCAACTGGATCTTTAGACAGAAGGGCGACCTCTAAAACACCCTATACTTGACGACCACGTTCGAGGCAACGAGTGAGGCGTACCCTAGAAGTGGCATGTGCTTTGTGTATTGTTTTCATGTTAAGATTTATCTTTAATCATGCAATTGTGAGCTACGAGTTGTTTTTAATTATTCATACATTCTTTCATGCATTTTTCACAGTGCGGAAAATAAAATACGGAAATATGAATCTACGCTATTACAAGGCGCGGGTCTATACATCGCCAAAGACAAAAACCCGTTTTGATAAAGTGCGGAAAGTAAAGAAAGCGGTAAACCCCAATTACTATTACATTCTAGAAGCAGTTACTAAGTAATCAAAAATAAAAAATAACGCGCGAATAGAAAGTAAATCAGGACGTCCTAGGGTTTTGACCCTTTTGAGAAAATATGAGTCCTTTGGTCCTTTGCATTTATTTGAAATTAAACCTAAAACTAACTAATTAATTAATAAAAAAATGTTTTTGTGTTTTTTTAATATTTTTATATTTTTAATGAAAATAAGAATAAAGAAGTTAAAAGTCAAAAGAAACCCTAATTCTAAGTTTATTTTAATTATTTAAAAAAATGTCAAAGTTAACCTAATTAACTAAATTAATTAATTTACATTTTTATTTATAAAAATAATAATAATAATAAATAAGAATAATGATAATGAGAAAATGTGATTGAAACTTGTCAAGCCCTAATTCTACATGATTTTATTTATTTATGAAAAAGGTGAAAATTAAGCCTAAATTAAACTAAGTTAATTGTTAATATTTATTTACAAAAATAATAGTTAATAGTAAAAATAATAAAATATATTAACATTTACAATTTTTGATCTCTGAATTTATTATGAAAAAATTAATTTGTTGGTTAATAATAAGAATAATAATTGATTAGTTAAAAGAAGAATTAAAAAAAGGAAAAAATAAAATAAAATAGCAAAACTAGGGGGGTTTGATGGCCCAATGTGGAGGTGTTATTCTGGATTTCAGGCCCATTAAGAAGCAAGTCTCGTTGACCTTGGGGATTGACCACACACTTGTTGACTAGGGAGTACCATGCTCTCCATCTCCTGGCCATTGGATGTATGCTGAGAGACACATGGCGCATTGCTATTTGAAGTGCATGGTGGAACGCATTGGAAAGCTGCACAAGAACATGTTGAAAAAAATATTATGGAATTTTGGGTGGACCTGGGAATCGAACCCAGGTCCCAAGGTTTATTGCACGCGCTTCCAACCACTCAACCACTTGTTTGCATCTGTTAATAAGATAAGCACTAAATATAATATATCAAATCAATTACATATGCTGGAAACGAACTAAATTGCGCGTGTATTTTAAACCGTCCACCCATATGCGTACACGTCTTCATCTCCTTCGCCTGGCCTGTAAAAATATCAAACAGATAGCGGGGGTTTTAAACCCCCACAAAGCAAAACTGCAGAAAATAGCGATTAGGGCTATAGGTAACATAAAAAGGGCGCAATGATTGGGTTGAATTCGTCTGGCCTTGACGAATTCAACCATAGGCGTCATGTGGTCCAATTTTTCTCATGCTGTAAAGCCCTAAAATCCAAGCTTCGAAACCCTAGGTTGCTTCAATGGTGTTTTTCAATTCAGAGCACCATAATCAAATTGAATTACACCAATAGCTTCAGGATGTTCCTATTAACACAAATCAACCCAAAAATAGATTAAAAGTGCATGAATAATGATATGCAATTATGGAAAAATATGCAAACCGTGGGACTTGTTGTGAACGCTTCTGATAGCTTCAAGGTTCGTTTTTTATTGCAAATTGTTCCTGGAGATGTCAGCAATGTATTGGAAACAAGAAAAGGGTTCGAATCGTCCTGCAAGTGAGAATTCAGATTTCAAATTTTCTTGAACTTTTGGAATTTTTGTTATGGTGTTCTCAGCAGCTTTTGCACGTGAAAGGCCTTAGGGTTTGCTTCAGCATTTGTATGGGAAGGGAATTAGGTCAACTTTAGGCCCAAAAATCCATTGCATTCATGTTTGCAATATTTGATTTTAATCAAATCTTTTCCAACTTTTTGATTGATAAAACTTGCCAAAATTGGGTGATTTTGATGTCCTTGATATGTACACGAATTGCCGGCTTGCCCTGATCTCATTTGCTTCATAAAAAGATTTGAAAACCATGTTTTGATATTTTTCCTACAATTAAATTAATTAAATGAATTATTAATCAATTAAAAATCCAAATAATTAATAAAAATAAGAAAATAATTCAAATTAATCTTAATGGGTTGTGCATAAGCCTTGGGTAAAGATTCAAGAAAGAATTTGAGGCCCATTAGCAAAAATGAGGTGTTTTGGGCAA